TACAAAAAATAAAACCTCATCAGTTTAGCTGGTCACTCATTTGCATGCATTCAATATGTGAATATAAATAAATAAAATTATATAGACATATATATGTACACACATATATGCATATACAAATATGTATTCTCTCCTTCAACAAAGCGCCTTCCATACATATGAAAGTTTTGGAAGATTAATGTGGGATAACTTTTTTAAAAAAACCATCTGATTGTCAGTATGAAAGAAGGCACAAAAAATAGGTGTCCAGTACAGAATATAAATTAGAAAAGAATTCCCTATAAATGATGAGGTCATCCAAGTGTTTTGCTTTTTACAATTGATGTTGTGCTGACTGAATGAAGCTTAAGATTGTAGAGCCTCCTTAACTAAATATAAAACCAGTCAAACCTGACTCTTCATTGAGTTGAGGTGTGGCTTGCCACTACCTTGCCCAGATACCTCCAGTCCAGGTTCACTTCAGCCACAGCAAGGATTTTTCTGTTAATCCTTCTAGCCTGCTGAGCTAAAAGACCGCTGCACCCTGTCGTTCTGCTGGCTCCATTGTTCCAGGATTTTTCCTAGGGTGATATTTTCTGGGTTTCAAGGTCTGTAAGGGAGGGTGAGAGTGACTTAATGCTTGCTTTGCCATCTTGCCTCCCAGAAGTGCTGGAGAAGATTTTTGAGATTTTCTTGGTCAGCATGGAGGTCAAAGGTTATTTACTGGGAAGTCAATTACTGAATATAAAACCTGACTCTTCATAGAGGAGTAATCAAGTGATGGAAATTTCTGTCATCCAGACTACAATTTGCATTATTAATCCATTAGCATGTATTATCCAAATCAACAATCAGGTGGTCTCAGAATTGCATAGGAGAAAGAAAGAGGTTTGGATTAATTTTGGGAAATTGGTAATTTTCAATAATCTGAAGCTGTTTCTGATTGTGGCGTGGGACAAAACACAAATATCTGTCTTTTTAACAATATATTTCCAGTAATGCCATGTAGCTGTACATCATGGAACATCACAAGCTCCAAAAACAAATCAAATTTGCTGGCAAACCAAAGGACAATGAAGAGACATGCAGTGGTCCTGTTGACTGTAGCAGATTTGCTATGATGACACATAAAAGAGATGCATAAAAATATAACATAGAAAATGTTTAGAAAAGGAGATGAGTTGATTATTTAGTGAGAGCAAGGATCACGTGAAGAACCATGTTATTTTCAAAAACCTAGAGGAAAATCTTTAGCCCATTCTTTTACTCCTTTATGGAGAATGAATGGGAAATGTGAATGAGGGTTATAGAGGATTAGAGCAAATTATTGGGATGCAACTTGTACTTTGATAAGTCAATTGAGATATTAAAGTATTTGGTAAAAAATTGACATATAAATTTTATGCCAGAAATTGTTAAATAAACTATGAATCAGAGTTTCCTAACTTTTCTTAATTCACTATTGTTTCTAATACTCTTCTTTGGCCAAATAAATCCCATTGGAAAAAAATGAGGTTGCACATATGTTACTAATATCATTTTTTAAAGCCATGGTAAAGCATAGTAAAAAAAAAAAAAAGTACAGATCTGTTAAAGTGGACTCAAAGTAGTGTTTGCTTTCCAACTTTCTGTGTTTTAATGGGATTTTAAGATAAAAATGTATTTCTTTTTACAAAGTAAATAAACTCTTTTATTGGTAAATTTTACTTTTTTTATAAGCCATACCATGCACTGGCATAAATCCCAATGACATCTTAACCTTGTGACCTGCTTAAAGCCATGGAAAGATATTTTAGAGCAGGAGTTCTTTGCCATTTTTTTTTTTTTGTATGTCATGAACAACTTTGGTAGTCTGGTGAAGCCTTTGGACCCCTTCTCAGAAAAAAATCTTTTTCAATATATTAAACAAAATAGAGGATTACAAAGGAAACTTCTTATTTTGGAGTAAAGAAACATTTTTTCCCATCCATGTTCATAGATACTTAACCCTTAATGATTAATAAAAGGAATGTTTCTCTTGTTGTCAAGCTTTGTTTTGTTTTTTTGTTAGGCAGTGGGGTTAAGTGACTTGCCCAGGGTTACGCAACTAGTAAGTGTCAAATGTCTGAGGCTGGGTTTGAACTCAGGTCCTCCTGACTTCAAGTCCAGAGCTCTATCCACTGTGCCACCTAGCTGCCCCTCTTATTGGCAAGTTTAAGAAATGATTTTTGTTTTTTAAAATGGGAGGAATTGGCAAATGAGCCAATTTAGAAACAGGGTATGATACTAGAAAGAACAGTAGACAAGACATCAGAAAGATTAACTTTAATTAGGTCTTCATTGACCTTGGACATTTTCCTTACGATTATGGGTATTAATTTGATTATCTATAAAAGGAAAAGTTTGAATTACATAATTTCTAGAATCACTTCCACCTGTAATGTAACAAACCAGGATTTCAGTTCTGGCTCCATTTAAGTAGCTGTGAGGCAATTAACTTTGCTAAATTTCACATTTTTATTGGTTTAAGGGAAAGGGTACTATGTACATTGCCTAGCTTACTTTGTTGTGAGGATCAAATGAAAAAACAGCTATAAGATGCTTTGTAAATCTAATGCATTTTGCATTTGAATGCATAATAAAGAAGTTATTCTTATAATTTCTGTGGGTCCCTGAGACGCTTTCCAAGGTCTGAGAGATCAAAACTCTTTTGTCAATAATACTAAGATGTTATCTGCCTATTAAAATATCCCTCCATATTACAATTACATATCTGTGTAAAGCTAGATTTTCTTTATGTACCTTAAAGAATTTAGAAGCACATGTGAAAATCTGTCTATTAATCCAGACATTAAGGAGATTTGCAAAAGAAGAAAAAAAAACAATGTCAAACTTTTCTGTTATTTTTGTTATGGAAAATAGTTATTTCTGTAAAACATTAACAAAATGTTTTAATAAACATATCTTATGGATTATGGATTATGAAACAGAGGACAAATGATAGAGAACAGAAACAGATACCTCCAGGTTTATTTCTTGGAGCTAGGATAAAAGAGGGAAGAGGAAGGGAGTCCTTCCCTTCTCGTCAGTTCAGTTCATGGTGTCCACACCATGGATTCACTGAGATCTTCACCATCTGGATGAAGTAGGAAACAGTATCAGAAAACGAAAGCTCTGGTCTATTTCTTCTTTTTCTTAACTTTTATTTTTGTTTTCAGTTCCAGATTCTCTTCCATCTTCTACTCCTTCCTTTACCCATTTCACTATGCATCAGCTAATATAAGTCTTTCCAGATTTTTCTGTTTTCTTACAGTACAGTAGTGTCCCATCACATTCTTCTACTTGTTCGGCTGTTCCCCAGTTGATGGGCATCCCCTCAATTTCCAAAAAAGAGAGATGCTATCAATATCTTTGTTCATGTAGGTCCTTTTCCTTTTTGTTTAATTTCCTTGGTATGTAGACATAGTAGAGGTTTTGCTGGATGAAAGAGCGTAGAGAGTTTTATAGTTCTTTAGGCATAATTCCAAATTGTTCTTCAAAATGGTTAGATTAGTTCACAGCTCTGTGAATAATGCATTAGTGTTCCTATTTTCCCCCATTCCTTCTGCATTTGTCATTTTCTTTTTCTGCCAACTTAGCCAATCTGATGAATGTAAGAGTTAAAACAACTTCAGAGTTGTTTTAATTTGCATTTCTCTTATTATTAGTGATTTAGAACAATTTTTCCATGTGATTATTGATAGCTTTGATTTCCTTCTCTGAAAATGGCCTATTGATATCCTTTACCATTTATCAATTGAAGAATGGCATTTATTTATTTATTTTTCAAATTTGGCTCAGTTCCATATATATTTGAGGAACGAGGCATTTATCAGAAAAAACTTGCTGTAATATTCTCCCCCAATTTCCTGCTTTGCTTATAATTTTGGTCACATTGTTTTTTTTTTCTGAAAAAAATAAAAACCCAACTTTTTAATTTTATATAATCGAAGTTATCTACACCCTCCCACGCCAGTGAACCTCTCTATCCCTTGCTTGGTCATGAATTCTTCCCCATCCATGAATCTGACATAATTTTTCCATGCTCTTCTATTTCGCTTATGTCTCCTTTTGTTGTTCATCTTTCGTTCCTTAAGGGGATCGATGTCATCAAAAGATCAAAAGAGTGATGTTTTGACTTGAGTTTGAGTGAGGCAGAGCTGTGCAAAGTTATCAGCCTCACACTCTCTTCCAGAGTCATTGAAATCCAGTGACAAAACACAGGTCAAGATGATAGGGGATGACTCAGGATACAGTGAGTGACCTTGGCCTTTCTAAGTTAAGGTCTTTACCTTAATGTCCATATTGTGTACCCATTTCAAACTTTTCTTAGTATATGATGTGAGATGATGGTCTATACCTCATTTCTGCCAGACTATTTATCAGTTTTTCCAGCAGTATTTGTCAAATAGTGAGTTCTTTCCCCTGGGATCTTTCAGTTTATCAAACACTAGGCTACTGTGCTCATCGGTTCCTGTTTATTGGATATTTATATTTTCCATTGATCAACCACTCTATTCTTTATCCAGTATCAAATTCTTTTGATGATTATTGCTTTGTAAAATAGTTTCAAGTCTGGTCCTGCTAGGCCCTCTTCCTTCGCTTTTTTTCCCCATTGATTCCCTTGATAGTCATGGCCTTTTTTCTACCAGATGAAATTGTTGTTATTTTTTGTAGCAGTATAATGCAATTCTTTGGTATTTTAATTAGTACGGCTCTAAGTAAATTAAATTACACAATGTTGTCATTTTTATTTTATTGTCTTGGCCTACCTATTGAGCAACTAATATTCTCCAATTATTTAAATCTCTTTGTGTGGGAAGTTGTCAAGTATTTTATACTGTCTGCAGTAATTTTAAATAGATTTCCTATTTCTTTCTGTTCTTGTTAAATTTTATTGTTGATTTGTAGAAATGCTGACAATTTGAATTTGCTAAAGGTGCTGTTTCAACTAGTTTTTTTAGTTGAATCTGTAGGTTTCTGTGAGTATACTCTCGTATCATCAAAATATGAAACTCTTCACAAATCTGCATGTCATCTTTGCATAGGAGTCTTGCTAATCTTCTCTGTATTGTTCTAATATTAATATATGTGATGTTGAAGTAAGTTCTGCTCTGTTTCTTTAGAAAAATTGACACGCAACAAAATTCTCTCTAAGAGGCAATATGATCTTTTGTAACAAACATTGGATTTGGAGTCAAGGTTATAGATTTGGTGCCCAACACTTAGTGTCTGCATGACCCTGGCCAAATAATTTATCTTCTCTCACCTTAATTTCTTCATTGATAAATGGAAATAATAATATTTATATTCTCTCTTGTACTATAGTACTAGTCTAGTGAGCAAAGTGCTTTATAAATATTAACATTTTATAAATGTATTATTAAATGTTATTACAATAGTGTTAGTGGAGAGGAAGTGATAGAGGAGTAGGTCATCTACAGAGACATTTTTACTAATCAAAAATGACTCACATTGGTTCCAGACACCTTTTCTCCTTCATTTGTTAAGAAAAATTCAAATTAAAAAGGCATAAATAATAGAGCACCGGCCCTGAAATCAGGAGGACCTGAGTTCAAATCTGGCCTCAGACACATAAGACTACTCTGTGATTCTGGGCAAGTCACTTAACCCCAGTTGCTGTGCCAAAAAAAAAAAAAGTCATAAACAAATTCTCATTTTTCCCTATTAAGAATAACACCAGCATGGAATAATGCTACCAGAATAAAAGCTGAATGAAAGAAGTTTCATGAGGATTGCATTTTTTTTTTTTGTGAATTCATTTAACTGAAGGTTGCAGGCCACTTTTCTTGGAAATTCTGAAATAGACTTCACTCCCAGGGCCATTCCGAGGAGTGTTCCCTAGCTCCAAGTCACTCAGAGAGGTTCCTTAGTTAATGTTTTTATATACACACACATTTTTTTTTAGAGTTTGCTTTGCTTAGAGCTAATTTATTTTTTAATCTACCTTCCTTTCTTATTCACCCTTTTTCCTTCTCCCCTTTCCCTCCTGTTTCCCTGTAGAGTGAAACGTTTTTCCTACTACACTCAACATTCTTTGACAAGTTCAGATTGAGAAGGAGATCCAAGTAGCAGTCACTCCTCTAACCTTTTCCTTCTTGTATAGATTTCTACTTCTATACCCCAAATAGATGAACTAATCTTCCTCATCTTTCCTTTCCCCTGTCTTCCATTCTTCTTTTAAGATCATGAGAACATAACAAAACAACTTGAAGGCCCTCGAATTAGAACTTTTCTATGATTCCTTATGATGATAGGGTTCTGATTGGAAACCAGTATCATCTTCCCGTAATAGGATGTAAATAATTTATCCTTTTTTAGTCCCTTGTGATTGTTGGCTTATGTTTCCCTTTTGACATTTCTCTTGAGTTCTTTCTGCATTTTGAAGTTTGATCTATTGAGTTCTGTTATTTTCATCAGGAACTCTTAGAAGCCCTCTATTTCCTTAAGGGTCAATTCCCTCCTCTTGTTCCATGGAATTGTGTTTAGTTTTGTTGGGTAAGCTATTCTTGCTTATTAGCCTAAATCATCTGTCTTCTGGAATATTACATTCAAAACTCTGCTTCTTTAAAGTGGTGGCTGCTAAATCATGTGCAATACTGACTGTGGCTCCTTGATACTTGAATTTTTTTTCTGATTGTTAATAGCATTTTTTTTTTCTTTGACTACTATCTTTTTGGTATCTATCAACGGTCTGTCCTGGGCTCTCTTCTCTTCTCCCTCTGCACTGTCTTGCTTGGTGAGCTCATCAGCTCCTGTATGTTTAATTATCATTTCTGTTTAAATGATTCCTAGATCTTTGTATTCAGCCATAGTTTCTTTCTCTCTCCTGAACTCCAGCCTGTCACCACCAAGCCACTTGGACATTACAAACTTCTTCTAGGCAGCTCAAACTCAACATGTCTGAAACAGAACTCACTCTGTTTCCTCCCAAACTCTCCACTCTCCAGATTTACAACCTGGATGCCATCCTCATCTCCTTACTTTTACTCCAGATATCCAATCTGTTGTCAAATTTTGTTATTCTCAACAAATCTTCACAGCATTTCTTGTGTGTATGTCCTTCTTTACATTCAAGCTCCTCTCTATTCCTTATTGTCTCTTGCCTTGACTTTCGCATTAGTTTTCTTTCTGATTAGTCTCCCTAACTTGAGTATCTACTCTCTCCAAAATGTCTTCCACACATCTGCCAAAGTAATTTTCCTAAAGTACAGGTCTGAGTATTTCAGCTCTCTACTCAAAAATTTCCATCAACTTCCTCTCACTTCATTGATTAAATATACTCTCCTCCCTCTTTTGTGACTTTTACAGTCCTTCACAAAATGAATCCTTCATGCCTTTCCAATCTTCTTCCACTTTATTTTCCTCCATCTACTCTATGCTCCAGTAACAGTGTTCTTGCTGTTCCGCACAAATTGATGCTCCATCTTCTAACTCCATCACTTTTCACTGACTGTCCCCTCTACTTTGAATGCCCTGTTTCCTCTTTTCTGCCTTCTGGTTTCCCTATTCTCCTTCCAGATAAGATCCTACATTCTGCCTTATCTACTCCCCCTCTTGTGAATGTCTTTTTTCCAAGATTACCTTTTACTTAGTCTGTATATATCTCATGCACATAGTTTTTTTTTGCTAGTTATTTCCCCCATTAGAATATTAGCTTCTTGAGGTCAGGGAGAAATCTTTTGGGTTTCTTTGTATCACCAGAGGTTAGCACAATGCCTGGTACATAATAAGAGCTTGATTGATGCATGATGACTGACAAAAAAAAATCCAGTCATCCTTTTTTTGGGAGGGAGGTAGCGCTGGAAGAGTAGTGGCATTATGAACACAATAGAAAGAATTTAAAATTTATTTTTAAAATTTAAGAATTACCAGTTTTTAGATAAGTCATTTTGTATAACATCTAATATTCAATCATATCCTATTTTACTCTGTTGATGCAACATTTTTAAGCATGAGCATGCTTCAATATGTGTATGTAAATTCTTAATATTGTGAACATAGTCATTATTATTAGAGTTCTAGCCTAATAAATAATAGATTTAGAATTTAATGAGACATTAGGGATTTTTTTATATAACCCAATAATTTTATAGTTGAAGAAACTATAACTTAGAGAGTGACTTGTTACGTAGATACTAGGTTACAAATCTGGGACTTTAACCCTGGTCCTCCATTTTAACTGTGCTATACTTTATCTGTCCTCACCCAATAATATTAATAATAACCATTAGCATTTAGAGACTTTTTTCAAGTTTAAAAAGTGCTTTACATGTTGTCTCATTTGATTTGCAAAGCCACCCTATTTAGCCAAATGTTATTATCCCCATTTTACAGATGTGGAAACTGAACCTAAGAGACAGGTTAAATGACTTGCCCAAGGGTACTCACCTAATTGGTATATGAGGCAAGATTTGAATTTAGGACATCCTGACTCCCAAGTCCAGCAGTGTATCTACTGTATTACCTAGCAACAGACAGACTTCTTATTTATCAAGTGCATATATTTTCTTTCCTTTCTAAACAAAGTTCCCAATATTACATACTTCTGATAAAAATTTATCAAGATCCCACTCAAATCATTAAATCCTTAAAGCCACTTTACTGACTTTTGGTTTTACATATTGTTTCTAGACAAAGTCTTATAACACAGACCTTGATTTTTATTTTATAACCATAATATCAGTAGATCACATATATTTTCCTTTAAAATTTCTAAAATATTTTCCCCATATTATATGATTTTTTTTTTTTACAGAAAAAAATTGAGGGTCACTGTGTTAAGTGAATTATCCAGGTTGACAGTCAAATATCTGGCTCAAACCCAGTTTCTCTGTGAGTCTAGTAGCTTTTTTCTTTTATAACAATTAATTATCTTGCTGTCACTGCTATTTAGCACTTAGCACAATGCCTTCAAAGGTAGTTCATATAATATATTAATTAAAAATATTAAGACCCTCTGAGCTAGGTTAATGTGCTTCGAGGGTTATTAAGAGAATTCCTGCTTTCAGGGAATTTATAATCTGTGGGTGGAAGAATAGGACTTACACAGATAAAAAATATAATGACAAATCAGAATATGATAAATGCCTAAGAGGGGTAGACTAGACTCGGAAATCAAATAAGGGAGATATTATATTGAGGGAGAGGAATCATAAAAGAGGTAGCACTTGAAATAGAATTTTGATGGATGAGTAAAATATCTATTGGATGGAATTGTATGACAAGGATATAGGAGAAGGGAGTGGAATATTCCAGGCATATAGTTCAGGATAAGAAAGTATTGCTGAGAATGATAAATTATGTCTTAATTTAAAACTGGTGGTAGTGGCATGATACAGAGATATTCCAGTGAATAATGCACTAGATAAGAAGGCCAGGGGGCTATGTTTTAGTTTGTCTCTGTTTGAATATATAGAGAAGACTGTAATTATATTGGTGTACTTTATGATGATAATAATGATGTATGACAGTAATGAGAGCTGGCTATAGTTAAGAAGACCTGAGTTCAAGTGCTGAGTTTGACATACGCTGCCTTGTGACCAGTCCAAGCCATTAACTGCTCAGTTTCCCCTGGTAGCCCTCTGGCAGAGGAAGTTCAAATCTGCTCTGGTTGAGAAAGTTCCTGCCTGGGAACTTCCCATACCTATGGAATCACCAGTCTAGTTTTGTTTATTTATTATTTATATAATAACATAATATTTACATATAGAATGTATGTCATATTTATATTACTTCTAAGTATAATATGTAAATATTTATAAATGTTTATAAATTGATGTAATAAAACTGAAGTAGGTAAGGCAATTGTTATTTAAAATAAGAAAACTAAAAACCCAGAATGGTTTTATGACTTAGCTCAAATTGCAATGTAGAGACAAAGACTGAAACCAAGTGTTACTGAGGTAGTAGTGCATGTGAAAATGATTTGATATAAAGAGCACAATGTTTCACATGAATGTCAGGTAGTTAATTTTAAGTTCCAAGAGGGCAGAATTCACATTCATGTGTTATTTATCTTTGTAGCTCCAAAATACCTAGCACAGGCCTTTGTACATAGTGAAAGCTTATTATTCTGCACTGGAGAAG